CCTGCACGACATATACCAAGCCCGAAGAGCCTCTAAATTTGCACTAATTTTTGCCCGTGATCCTGAGGATCACAGTGTTTTTGCTGATTGATCCTGTTTGTGGGATATTCGCCAAGATGCGGTGAGGCGGCTCTAAGAGCAACAAAGGCCACCGCCCGTTTTGTGTAAGTCCTTTCAAACCGGGCTAGATCCAGCTGTGCCTGTGCCTGTGCCTGGGCCAGGGATTAGAAAGGGTATCGGGCCATTGTAGGCGTTACTATTGAGACAGTTTACAGTGCATTTACTTCGGCTTTATTTGTCTCGTCTGTGCGACAGCTCGACGCGCAATTGATTTGTCAAAAGCCGCACTAAATGCCGAAGTTTTTCATTGACCACCTACCTGCCTGCCCGAACTACCGCAGTGCAGAACGGAGCAGCAGTGTACAGACAACTGCTGCATGGCAACTTCTCCAAAATAAATCAATCAATTAAATTTTTAAAAAGCTTCTGCAGTCAAATGCCGCATGAAAAATATTCAATGCCTTCCACAAAAACCTCCAGTCGGTAATTAAAATTTCTGCTAATATATATCCAGGCGAGGGCTGATGTCCTCGTTCACTTTTCTGTCCGCCCAGCCAGCGTGCGACAAGCATATGACAGTTTGACAAACGGCCACTGACAAGTGGCCCCAAGCCGGAGGTAAGGCAAAAGCCAGCTCCAAGCTGCGACTGCATTGAAGAATTAAATGCTGCGTTTTGGAATTTGAGGTATGTCCGCTGGGGACAAAAATCATATTAAGACGGGCACATTATAAAACGGCAGCAAACATGGCACTGCCAGAGGAGGAGGAGGAGGAGGAGGACAGTGCACTGTGGCCAGCAGGCCGCATAACTTATTAAAAATCAGCAAAAAGCGATCAAAAATTGGGTTTGACAAATGCCCGAAATCGTGTGCGCCATCCAACCGTCTAAGCGCCACTTAAATTTAAGCAACGGCTCTTCAGAATGTCTTCGCAAGAAGGGAAAAATGGGGAAAACACGGCGCCATTCATCGTCAATGTCAAGCTTCACGTCGAGGCGCATAATTCTGCTGGCATTGTCATTGAACTTTTGGTCAAATTCTTTTTAAATTGTATTCCTTTTAGTCGACGATTCAGAACCTCATTCATCTAAATTTCAGATGATATTTTGGTGACTATCAGCAAAATGAGACCAAATGTTCGTAAGGATATGGCGTTCTTATTTAAGTAATTTCTTATTACAAGTAAGGAAATTTGGAAAACCTGAACAGTTTTGTTAATTGCAATGCAAATGCGTGTCGGTCTGATGCATCATCACTAGTCTCCAAGAAATTATGAGACCCCAAAACGAAACTGCGAGTGCTTCCACACAAATGCCATAAATATTGCAGCCGATCGGGCAAATGATGTTGACAGGCACACGAGCACATTCTGTGGTCCCGCAGGGATTGGTCATAAAATTTTTTTAAAAATATCATAATTTTTGATTCCAATGAATAGCAGGCCACGTTTGGGCCATTAAAGGGTTCAAATGAAGCCGTTAAATGTATCAATAAATTATGCTAAAACTCACATCAATTACAAGTCGTAAAGCAAGCCAGATCTACTGGAACGGGCCGGGCAAGGTAAACTGCAACTGCAACTGCAACTGCAACTGTATCTGAAGCTGCATTACAGTAGCGAGCGGTGAGGGGTTGGGGGCGGCAATGAACCACAATTGCATAATAAAAATGAAACACGAATACTCGGCATACTAGGGCTCGAAATACATAAATAGTTTGATCGGAAAAGTCGTTAATGGAACGAACTCACACAGAAATAAGCTGGACCGATCCCATCATCACTGTCATTGTTTCAATAGAAAACGCATAAAACTTGAGAAAATTGAAACAAATTTTACAGAAGAATAACAAATGCACGCGCACAGAAAATCTAGAGGAAGAACGCACAATTTTATGGATATTTGTTTTTCGCTGGTAATAATGCCACCAGTTGTCCGACATCTCTGATTCAGGGACAGCGGCGGTGCCCGGGCCGGTGTCATAGGGTTGTATTTTTATTGCTTTTCAAATGTTTCCGTAACTAGTCCCGAAGAAATTTCTCTAACACGATCATAAAGTTTTGATTTTTCCACTGAGCGACAAGAGACGAGCGACGAGAGACGAGAGATCATCCTTGGCCTTGGGACAGGCGGATGAAGTGATGGACGGGTGGGCATGTTTACCAATAATAAAAGATAAATCGTCTGGTTTACATTTAGAGCAGACATCACAATGCGCGATCAGCAACACGGCCATAAGATTTTCGTTTATTGCCCCTTGTCCTTTATCCTTTCGTCGAATGCCAGGACCTAGCACAAATACACATTGGCGTTACCTGGTTGCGCCCATCAAGTGTCTATTTGTTTTAGCCTGCATTGCCCTTCACATAACTCTCCTTCCGTTGAGCTCCGCGACACGCTCTCGCAACATTTTTGAGGCATTTGTGATAGCACATTTTAAACTTTTTATTACTTTGGGCTCAGCATTACACTCTTTCAATTGTTATCTCGTTCAGAGCTCTTAAAAATTGTATCTAATTGCGACTAATTGGGTTTTAATCGAATTTGTAGCCTAATTACTTGAAGACAGGCGTTGCACATTGTTAAACTTCTGTTTAACTAAAGCAAGTATCAAAGTGATACTATGGATATTAAATATAAGTCTTATCACTTTAAGGGGTGCTGAAGAGACTGTTCTACGTTTTCTTTAAAGCCTGTACCAATGAAAATGGGTAAAACAGGTATAAATGTATGTAATAACGACAGAAGGAGCACATAAATTATACATATTCCTGATCAAGACGATGAGCTGATTAAGAACATTTCACTTTTTTGATAAATCCTACATAATTTGAGCCCTGAATATTGCATAGGGACTGTAAACACCAAAGCTATCTATTCAAGACCGAATTTCCTATTGATTGGGGCTGGAGGAAGATATTTACATATATATATTTATATTTAAGGTGGGCATGCCTGTTACTGCAGATCGCCGCCAGACGTAGGGTATCTCCTAGTCGGGCACGCCTGATTGAGCACTCTTGTATATAATTGTGATTGCCTAATGAATAGCCCTTAACTTATAGAATAAGTTCCTCTCCATCATAATAATTTTAAAGTGCACAAATTGCGCACTCAATAGTCAAATACAAAGGGGCGGGATAAATCGCACCCATCCCCATCCCCATCCCCCACTCCCTGCCCCTGCTTTAGCTGGCTGACAACATTTTTGAAGTGATTTGTGCGGTTGGCCACAGAAGAAGCAAACGGAATCGCAGTCACAATGGTTTTTAACAGCACTCGAGAACCGCCTGTTGAAAATTGTGCAAATATAATTTTCATAGCAATTTCAGCAAATAAATAAATTAAACAAACGAATTAAGGGAGTGAGACAGAGAGAGAGAGAGAGAGAGAGAGAGAGCGCGCGCGAGGGAGAGTGTGAGAGAGTGCCAGAAATCGCGCTAAGTGAGTGCAATTGACAAAGGAAATCAACAATGAGAGTTGCGATGAGTTGAGGAGCACTTCAGAAATTATGCGTGATGAGCATACCCTGACACAAGGGGCCGAAAGAAGTCAAAGCGTGTGGCAACATTGCCAAGGCAACTTTGAGGCAGTTGCAAGTTGCGGTCGCAGCCAGTCAAATCGGAGGCTGTCAAATAGTTGAATGCCTAAATAATTGAACTTTATTTCGAGTCAATTGAGCGCAAAAGCACGCAACAGGCTGCAGGCAGCAGTAGGCAGCAGACAGGACATCCGCAGGACGGCGCCAGGGCGGCAACAGAAACTAACGGTTATGAACTCTTGTTCTTATCACAATTGAAAATTGTGAGCTAAGTGGCGCCTCACGACATTTCGGTCTGTTTGTGTGTGTACCTGCGCAGATTGCGCAATTGAAGGACTTGCTGGCCTCGATCAGCACTGATATTATCCTTAACGCACACCTTCATAATTTTGTCAAGTTGTCGCCAATTGTCTGCATTTCATTGAGGTCCGAAAGGAGAGCAGGTACAAAGGTTATTTGTGTTTTCCTTTTGAGCTCGTTTTTTGTTTTGTTTTATTATTTTTTTGTTTTCTTTTCTAGTTTTAATTATTACTGCCCGGCGTTTATGTTTTTCAAAAATGGTCAAAGGCGAAAGGAAATCCTTTTTAAATATCGTTTACTGCATTGGCAGCTGTGGGTTTCTCAAATTTATGGCCTAGCCCTAAAAATTGTTGACATTTTCGTTATCTCTTCTGTAATTTTTGACCTTACCGGCGTATCCTACGCTCTATCAATGAAATATTGATCGACTCGGCTGTGGTGTGAGCCTCTATGAAGATATCTGTATGCATTTTCAGCTCTTGACCCTCGCAACACTGATTTATGCGTAATTACCCCTACCTGGTCCATTTGACAACCATATTTAAATCTCGCTCTATAAAAATGTTTATATCCCGACTTTGGGAATCGAAGCGGTATTAAAATTTCGATTGACTCGGTGCAGTATCTCTGATAGTTAATGTTTCAGTTGCAGTTTATTAAAGGACACTTACAAGCTCAATAGCTCTGATCGATGTGATTGATTGATTGACAGATTACGTAGGTATGTTAAAAGCCTTTAAATGGAAATTTGGATTAGCTACTGATGAGGTTATAAACCTTTTTACCTAATAAAAATCGTATATGCGTGTTCTGATCTTTGATTAATTCATTCCAATTATTTTATTACTAAGTATTTAAATAAAATCTTTCGTTTTTAATAATCCTTCATTAAATTACATTTTTGGTAATGCATAAAATGAACGAAGAAGCTTGGGTGAGGGGTGAAAATAAGCTCAGTTCACAAAGTAAACATTAAACACGTCTCTCAGCGACTTAAATGAGTTCGCGGTTTGATAGACATTTTTGGGCACATTCAGTGAATACTAATAGATCTGGGCCCGTTGGACCCAATAACTATAATAGAAAAGAAGGCGGCTGAAATAGTGAGCATTAAGATCAAATAAAAATTGTTAAATTGTTAAAATTCTGAAACAATAGCAGACTCGACGCGGCCATGAACACGCCTCCACGCAGACGCATTCCCCGACCCAAATACGACCGAGCACTCTGTGGCACGTCTTGATGAAAGGCAAGCATGCGGTGCCTTTTAACATATCTGAACAGTCCCGTGAAAATTACTCGTACAATTTGGCATAATTTTTATGAGGCAAACAAGTGTGAAAAACGGGTAAGGAAAAAGCGGGTCGAACAAACGAATGGAAATTTCAAAATCCTTTAGCGAGGATCGAATTTACTTAAGACTTGCGACTGGCCCCGGACCAGGCCAACATAAAACAACAATTAAAATTCTTAGCGCATGCGTGTTCATAAGAGCTGGTAATAAGTTTTATTTATTTACATTGTGTACCTCAATTGGAGACAGACCAAGCCAAGCTACCAGGTACTCCCGACTAGAGCATTCCTACTTGTTTTTAATTATTTATTTTCTTTTTTTTATTATTGCATTTTCAGCTATGCCCCTTGGCTCCCTCGGGGCTTTGAGATGGGACCGCTACATAAATTGTCAGTCGATCAGGCGGAAGCGATTCCGTTTTTTTATTTTTTATTTTACTTCACTTTCGTTTGCATTTTGTAAATTACATATTTTATTTTCTTTAATTTGTTTTTAAATTTTATTTAGGGCAACAAAGAGACCGCAACAGCATTAAAATTCGATGCTTCCCCGTAGATCCTAAAGCTACGATAAGACTACGTTTGTCCCAGAGAAAAAAAGGGTACTTTAAATGGAGCGACACAATCAAACTGCCAGGCTGCATATTGATAGTTTAGTTTTAGGATTGGATAATGAGAAACGAATGAGAACAGAAGAACGTAATGAATACCAACGGCAGATGAGAAATAAAATGGATGAAGCAAGCTACATGTAAGGAAACAAATCCATAGAAAGTATGAACATATCGATCTGGGGAACTCTGTCTGTGTTGTCCATCTGTTGGTATGTTGGAAATGTTCATTTTTGTATTATTCATGAAAATTGTTAATGGAGTCATTATTGATTAGCTTGATTCTACAATATGTGATACTTTCCGATTTTGATAAGGAATGAATTCAATGAAAATATCTTAATTTGTTGCCGTTTTTGCAGCTTAATAGCAACAGACTCAGTCGTTTAGGATTATGAGCTAACGAAATCAGAAACAAAGTCCATACAATGCATCCTCAGTAATTAAAAATAAAAAAACTTATTCGCCAGTTCACACATTCGCACACACAGATACAAATGCGCATACACACACACAGAAATATATGCCACTTAACATGCTAATGATATCTTAACATTTGGCGGGGCAATCGTTAACAGTGCACAGTTTTCGAAGTTTTTTCGAAGAAAACCCATTAACAGCGTATAAGACTGACTGCTAGCAGCGCATGACAACGAGAGAGCGACAGTGACAGAAATAGCAGGCTTTTACAAAATGAGAGCGGCTGTTGTGCTGCTACTGTTGCGCCACAGCAAAAATAAATGCTCACAGAGAGTGCAAGAGAGAGAGAAAGAGAGAGAGGGAGAGAGAGAGAGGGAGAGAGAGAGAGGGAGAGAGAGAGAGAGGCAAGCAACCTGTAAGAATTCAATGAGCGTGCAACGCACGCTGTTATTCCTGTTGTTGGTGTTGTTTTCGTTATGATTATGAGAGTCTATCAAAACTTACCATCGTATGAGTCCGCCTCGTATCTGTATTGGCGTATCAGTATTGAATATAATGGCAGATATGAAAAGGGCAGCTACATATACACTGCTTTTGATGTCGCTGGCTGCGGCGGTTGGTTGTCGGCGGCGACGCAAAATGAGCGAATATGAGCGTTATGAATTATGTATTGGTCTGGTATATAAACAAACCCTCACTCACACACACACACACACGCAACAGCGCTGAGATATGAGTGGGTAGGAGGCGTACTGTATACATTTGCCTCGTCTTATTTCTTGCTTTTTGTTTCAGTGCGCAGTTTTCTGCTTTCTTACTGGTGCGCAAGGTGGCGATTGGCTTTGGACTCGCGTTTTTTTCTTCGCTTCTACTCGTCTCTTATTGTGTTCCATCTTTTTTTTTCAACACGTTGAATTTCCAACTCCTCGACTTTATGCATTTTATTGGCGGTCTACTCGACTTGTACTCCCTTTTATTTATTAGCTGCTCGTCTCGCATGGTTTTTTTTTTTATTTTTTTTTTTATCAAGTTTGAGTTGCATCTCTTCCAGTACGTTCATTTTATTGTCTTCATTCGCGTACGACTCCTCTCGTTCGCTCCGGGCAAAGTTTATGATAGCCCCCCTTAGGCTAAGCCATCTTCTGGCCATTAATTGCCATTCACCCAATGAACGAATTTGACTTTTAACTTAGGTTTCAGCTGCAACAGAGACTGCGAAAATACGTAAATATTTTCTGTCTATATCGATTATAGTACATAGCCATAACTAAAATACATGAAGGTACTAACTTGGCATTATAAATAGAATACTCATTTCTGTCTATTGTGAGTCAGACAATTCAGCTAGAGAATTCAATTCAAATGAAATTAAAAAATTGATTCATTTGCTTTAATTCCCAATTGACCAACATAGTGTGTAATCAGTTGCTACTCAGCAATTGTTCAAATAATTACTTAAACCTTTTTGAAGTGCTTTAAAGTCTTAACATTTTTTAATTACCAAAAACAAAAGCAATAAAAATAAAAACAAAGAAATTAATGTTTATATCAAAACAGAACCCACAAAGCCAGCCTATCGCCAGATGTGTAGAATTGAGTCACAATACATTAATGCGAATTGCATGTACGTACAAATTTTTAATGATTTTGTAGAACAGTTGCAAGGGGCCTAAAACTCAGCGCTGACAGCTTTACATTTGCTTACAGGTAACTTAAATTATTTGAGTACCTCTGAAATAAATCCATAAAACCATGCCCATTAAAAAAATATGCAATACCGTACGTATATAATGATTGCAAGCTTAGAAAACAAAGCATAAGAATATAATAAAATAAGTGGGAGTTGCCCAAAATAAAGAAAACAACAAAGAAAGAAACAGGAAACCAAACGTTTTGATGAATGGCTCATAATACTCAACGCACACATGCAAACATGCACAGCACACGCACAAAACCAAATTGACGAATAAGCGAAGCACCCAGAGCAGACAGGCGGACGAACGGTCCAATGAGTCGGGGGCGAACAATAGCAAAGAACCGAAAATCTTATAAAACCGAAATTAAAAAAGCAACAACAGAAACGGCGCTCATAACTGCGCGTGAGAAAGAGTCGCAGCGCGAGAGGTGGGAAGAGCTCGCGCAACAAATGGCCGAGGCGCAGGCGTGCGTGCAAGTGAGATGGCAGCTGTAAAAGGGCCGTACACTTATAAGCAGGGGATTCACAACCAGTTGCCGGGGCATATGAATTATGATAAATTATTAACCAAGAGAATGCAAGTGCGAGAGAGAAGGCAGATCGTCAGACAGCGCACCCGAGAGCAGCCGAGTGTATGTATGTATGTAGCTGTAAAAACGGCAAGAGCACGTTTACTACAAGCACAAAAACAATGGCGCAAAAGGTGAGCGAGCCCCAGAGGCGGAAGGAAGCAGTAGCAGGAGCAAGGAAAGCGCAGCCAAGCCGAGTACCAACACCAACTTCGCTGCTTTTTTGAGCGGCGGCGAGCAGCGGCGAGTATCTCTCGGCTTTTTTTTTGTGTGTGAGTGTCTCATAATTTTTCGAACAAGTTTCATAAATGTCCGTTCAGCAAACAGGTAAGCAGAAACACCAGAGACTGAGCATCCTTCGCTCGTGAGCGCGAGAGGGAGAGAGAGAGAGAGACAGAGAGAGCGAGGGTAACAAGCTGAGCAGAGGTGAGAGGTTGATGGCAACAGTAACAGTAACAGCAGCCATAGCTTCCAATGGGTGCAAGTAAGACAACAAAAGGCTGACTGTCGAGCAAAATTTAATAAAAGTTATGATGAGAGGGAAACTACGTTTGTGTGTGTGTGTTGGAGAGGGTGTGTGCGCGAGTGGGAGCGAGAGCGTCTATGTAGGAAAAATTATATGAAATGTGAGCGAGTGCGAGTCTGATACATACATATACATGTGTGTGTGTGTGTGTGTTTGTGTGTGTGTGTGCTTAAGGTGGGTAGGTTGAATGAATGTCAGGATAAGCCAGTTGCCCATGTTGTTGTTGCTGTTGGTGGCAGCATAATAAAAATGTTGCACACACACACACACACAAACACATTCAACATACATAGGTAGAGCGCATGTAAAAATATTGATAGTAAACCGGTCGTGTCGTCGTCGCAGCCCGAAGCAACAACAGCAGAAACGACGACTACGGGCTGCGTTCGTGTAGCTGTATGTGTATGTATGTGTGCCTGAAAATATCTCAAAGATATTGTTTGTGTTTTGTGTCAGTGTTATTTTGACGCGCGTGCTGAACGTTCGTGCCGCAGAGAGAGCAGCGATTCCGCCACTGAGTTAACACCGACTATTATTCCCGTTTCTGCACAAATTTTTAGCGAGTGCGCGTAAAATTTCAAAATTCCAATCAGATGGTGACAGTGTCCATAACAATATATCTTAAAAGCCCTGTCGTTACGTATACATGATCAATGTGATGAGTTTCAATTTAAAATGAAAGATCAAGTCATTTGTTATCGATAAGCGTTGCAAAGCCGACGGAAAAACACATTCGCGCAAACAATTGAAGCGATCAATTTACTGACCCGAGGCAAGGCTTACGGCTAATAACTTTTTTTGCACAGTGCGACAAGGAAAGGGGCCATGGGTCGAGCTCTGAGCACATGACATTGTTAAATTTTCTTTGGCCAAGTGGCGCCGAAAAAAACGAACACATATTTTCTTCATTCCCTAGCATTAGTAATAAATGCATATATATCTAAATAGTGTTCGGTCTGTGCTAAAGGAAAAGAAAAAACAACAACAACAACATAGAATAGAACAAAACGAAAATTCTTCATTCTTGATAAAAATCACTTGCTAATCGTTTTGTGTGCAATGCGTAGTGACTTCAAGGATAATCACCAGGAGACCATAAATAAAATGATACAGTTTGGTACCGTTAAATATGGCATTGTCAAACAGCTGAAGGATCGCGCCAGAAGCGCAGAGAAAGGTAAGTTTCCCGAAGCTGGCGTGAAAGTGTAGTCTATAATGAAAGCTCCAAATTTTCCTGAATTTCAAGTAAATAAGCTGAGTCAATATAACTAAAGGTGTGTTTCATATTGAATGCCGTAGCTAAATATGATATCTTCTGCCAATAACTTGCTGTTCAATTCCATGTTTGTTCTTTGCCTTTTCAAATTTTGTGTGTTGCATTCCTATTGAAGCAAACTTAAATCACACATTGCTGTTTTATGGACAGTTTGAGTTTTGTTTCTATATAGGAGTTTTATTTCTTTATAGTTTCAATAAAATTAGTCAATTCAGCAATTGTATTATTGGATGTGAATGAGTTACAATCACATAATCTAACAAGCTGTGAAAATAACATATAGGTTATAAAATTAATTATTGGTGTTTTACACGAAAAATGTTTATAATACCATAATAACTATTGGACGTAAACAAAAATATTTGTTAACTCGTAAAAAAAAACATTTAAAGTCATACAATACATTGGTAAGATATTAATTTGTGTCCAAGCTATAGTCAAGGCGAACTGTGTGAATGCGTTTCGATTGGATTCGTTTGTGACGTATGTAAATGGCGAAGCTTTCAAACAATTAAAAGTCTTTAAAAGGCCCCCATATTGCTCTCAAATCATTTTCAAGCTTTATGACGTACACTGGCATAAATAAATATGTGCATTTATACATGTGTACACCTAAATCATAGCGAGGAGCGACTCCAAATCGTCGTATTTAAATCGATACTTGATTTGTCATAAAAAATTAGCAGAGTTAGTAAAGGGGTATTCTTGAATAATCATGACAAATACAATACAAATACGGGGAAAGGAGGAAAATTCAAGATAGAGACGAAAAGAGAGAGGAGCGTGAGAAAGCGATAGAGAAAGAGCGAAAGATAAAGAGAGAGAGAGAGAGTGTGTGTATGTGAGAGAAATGTGACGTGAGGCAAAGCGAACAATATGTTGACAAAAGAAGGCTTTCAGGCACTTAAAACTTTTATCGGCTCCAAAAACTGGAAATACAAATTAAAATCTGTAGCCTCAAAATGTTATATATAATTCATAAGAAAACTGATGCAGACAGCCGCATAAATTAAATCGAAATACTTATATTTATTAATTTTGAAGATATTTTTAAAATCTACTGCACATTTTTTCTCCTCTGGCTACCATTTTTATTGGCGACCCTCGCTAAAAGAAAATCTGGTTTTAAGAGGCCCAAATCTAAATTAGAGCCACTTTTATATAACATAATTTTCTTTTGTCTGTTTGGTTGGGCAAAAATGATAAATTTGTTAATTAGCAGAAACTGGCTCAGTTAATTGTTGTTCATTTCAAACTCAGACGTAAATTCTTTTTTGTGATACTAGTATGTCGACTTTCTACTCTAAGTTATATAATATACCATTATGATAATTTAAACGAGATATTGAAAGAAAAGCTGCTTGCTAATAAATTATTTGAATTATTTCTTTTTCATATTTGGATAGGTTATAAGCTGATTACTTTTATATACTTTTATTTTTACTTATTGTTTATATTCATAATATATTTGATTAAGAAACCATTGGGGTTTTTATAAGCGAAGACGTACTGACGAAAGCGGCAGGTAAATTATTATCTTTGAGATTTATCAATTATTTTTCGCGTATTTGGTTTACGTACTAATATATATAGATATATATATATATATATAATAGGGTTAAGCTGAAGCATTTCCGAAAGTTGTGCTCTTGTTGTTGCTACTGGGCATTAATAAATGTACACTCATTAGTGATAGGGTCATAAATAAGTGAAATATCGAGAAATTTGCAGCAGAAAAATACATTTTAAGAAATCAGAAATGAGACTAACATTTGAGCCAATTTCCATATGGTTTATATGGATTAAGTACATGTGAATAGACATATGTGCTAGCTGTGCATATGAATTTCGTCGATATTTGTGGTTGTTTTGTTAGCGCACGAACGCAGAAGTCAATGTGCAAAACTTAATGACATTAATTATTTAATTATTTTCATTTATGCGAGTTTTTGTATTCGTCTGTGTAGCTTCTGATATTTTCAATTTGCGTAGCTTTAAGTGCCGTAGGCAAACTTTGTTGCATTAATTTCTGCCCTGATACTTTGTGTCTCGATTTTGTTTTTCTTTTTACTTCATTTACTTTACTTATGTATGCTTGAAATTCATATACATGAAATTCAATTTGCCCCGAGTGTCAATTTATGCGAAACCCGTGAAATCTATATTGAAATCGGAATCGACAATGGACTTGGATATTATAAAATTATGCGACATGTCCGTTCTGTGTTTCCCCTGTTGTGTTGTTATTATAGTTGTTTTGTATTTTCTACTTTGCTGCACAACATTTTTTGCCTTGACAAAACTGGAAAATCATTGACTTGTTCGCTCGTTGTTAGACCCCCGTCAATTCCCGGCTGATTTCCATACTGAATATGATGATGGGATAATTGAAACGCTCGTTGCGCGCCATCAATAGGTGACCAGAGTCAAATGTATGCACCAAAAATTCTAAAAATAAGGCGTAACAGGAACTGCAAATAATAACAAAAACTGACTTGCACAAGCTGTACGTCATTTTTTGATACGTATTACACGTCATTTTATTAAATGGTGCATATATCGACGGCTCTTTTCGCAAAAATTGTTCATTAATCTCAGGCTTAGCATGATTTTTTACTTCTAGCTGACATTACTAATGTGATTTAAAAATTAGACTGATGAGATCTAATACGTTTCAGTATTTAGTAAGCTTAGATATATAAGAGCTAATAAACCAATTTAGTAGCCAAAAAATTTGACATGTTTGATGTGCATGCGGTTGACAATGACAATTTAAATGCTAAGAATTATTATTTATTGCAGACATAATTTAACATTGGCCGAAGAAACTTCTTAAATTCTCATTTTAGAAACTAGTTTGCTAGAAACTTATTTTTTTGCCTATACAATTGTATTTTATATCAGATTACTGACTTACACCATCTTGAAGCCTTAGAGCTTTTAAAACCCAATTCAATTTATATCATTTATTTTGAGTTGACTTCGTGTGCATTTTTTCAAGTATAGGATAAATAATGTCCCGTCCACAATTTGATATTGTTTTCAGCAAGCTTTTCAGGACAATATTTTGCATATTTTAAAAATAATTCAAAAGCGAATTGCAAACAAATTGATTTGTATGGGTTTATATAAAAATATACACATGTACAAATAAATTTAAACAAACAAAAATATCGAAGCAATATAAAAGAAAAACACAATAGAAGAGCTTAAATCAAAAGCGAAGGATGCATTTGCCCAAAGGATGCATTTGCTAGGAGCTGGGATAATAGGGACGACGCAGCTCTCAGTTTGTGATTTGTTGTTTTGACCAAGACAATAAACAAGATGTGTTTATTCTTATTGTAAATTTAGCAAATTTATTACCAATCGCAAAATGACTTAGCAATGTTCGATTGCTTGACAATTTTATGGGCATCATAATTCGGATTGCTGTTACTTTTTATGGCCGGTTGTCATGCCAACAAAGCGACCGACTCAAATTTTATGGCGCCCATTATACTTAATTTTAATTAATTAAAATAACATTCACTTATCAGTTATAATTATTATTATTTTGTTCACCATTTTCGTTGAACCCGCTAAAAATTTAAAAATCTTATTCAGCAAGTTAACAAGAGTCGACAATCAAATATCGAAATTTGCACGTTGCATTCGGCAGGCGGCAAATCAAATACAAACGAATACAAAGAAATAAAAATACAAATACAAATACAAATACATATACAAATTTCCAAATGAGGAACAACGTTGAGGTCTCGTCGTAATATTCGTTTTAAAAATAATTATTATATTAATGCGATCGATATGCAAATGGCTCCGATACGCAGCCAAAACGTAGCTGCCTAAAGTATCAACAGCCTGTTGTCTGACGCTCTATCCGCGGCTCTGCATTTGTATACTTTATGTATAAAACTCGCTTGACTCGTTTTGATTTGTGCAGAAATATGCTTTATTATACTGGCGAGTGTATCTTTGCCGATCAGCAAGGCAAGTGGGCTACGGATGGAGATTTATCTCGTTTGTTGGCCCTGCTTATCATAAATTATGCTTTATGGGCTCTGCGCATGCGAACCAATTTGGTCATTTTTTATATTCTATATAAGAAACATTTGTTTACCTGCCTTTCGTTAAGTTTGTGGACATGTTGGGACATTTTCCGTCGGTCCAACAAATGTCAGCTGTTTTAGTTTTTTGTTGCGCGGGCAGCAGGTGAGAATCAGCTAATCAACAATTGCTAATTGGGTTTCGAGCAAACAGTGAATTGACAAGGGGGGAGTGGGCTAACTGGTTAAGGCTAACACAAGAAATGCAATTGCATTACCTGCTTCGACAGCAGCATAACACAGCAGCAGCAACTTCCACTACGGTAGCAACATAGCCGCATTGCAATGAACAATTGCCAGCGATTAAGTCATATATGCGACAAGGCAGTGGTCAACAGCAGCGGGGGGTGCGGGAGTCTTACCGGTACCAGGCCAGGCCAGGCAGCAGCTTGCTCCAGACAGTGCGTTCTCTATTTTGGTGGTGCCACAGTCAGACACAACAAGTTATTGTTGTTGTCATTGTCAAGTGTGCACATTGGAGCAAGCGTCTTCGAAATTTTGTTTATAGATTAAATATAAATCGAAAGGGACATATTAGTTGAATTGACATAACAATCAATTCAATAGGAATACAAAACTGAAACTTCCATTAAAAAAATAAAAAACAAACATATTAGCACATACGCCACGAACTGTGCGCTTTAGGCAACGTCAGCGGCAACGCTACATGATTCCTATATTTCAAGTACCTCCTTCTGCCTGCACTGGACAGCGTATGTATTCGTAAATATTTATATATTTATTTGCATTGTAATTTGTCGCTTGTTAATAGGATGTCGCTTTAAGTTGTCAACATTTTTGTAGAGTTTGATGACATTAAGTAAATCTGTGTGTTTTACAAACTGATTTTAATTTCTAGGTTTTTAATTTTGTTTTCTTGGCAGACATAGCAAGTGATCAGGAAGATAATGGCGCCTGCTCGCCTTTGACAACCGCGACGGCTAGCGCCAGCGCTGGCAACAGCCCGTGTCCCAGCCGCAGTCCACAGCAGCACAGCGAGGACGAAAGGGAGCCGGAACAAGTGTCGGAAAAGGAATTGGTACTAGAAGAGAGTGCCCAGTCCGAATCAGAGATTGGTAAAGAAATAGAAAATAATGCCGAAGAGACAATCGCGGATCACAATCATAATAACAACAACAACAACAAATTGGTCATGACAAAGCCACCAGTCGAGCACGAGGTCGAGCAGAACGCGAATTTGAACGCTTCTATGCCGAATTCACCCACAGCCGCGACTTCGTCAATGGAGGAGGCGACTTCCCAGGCTAAATCCCCTAAAAAGGAATTGGACGTGGATGTTGAAATGCAGGATGAGGGAACACCGCGTGGCAAGAACTCGACTACGCCACCAGTTACCAATGCAGTGATTGCTGGCGCAGCAGCACAGCAATTTGGCGCCACACCTGTCACCCTGGAAGCCATACAAAACATGCAGATGGCCATTGCACAGTTTGCGGCTAAGACAATTGCGAATGGCGCATCTGGAACGGACAATGAGGCAGCCATGAAGCAGCTGGCCTTCTTGCAGCAAACGCTCTTCAATTTGCAACAGCAGCAGCTTTTCCAGATTCAGCTTATTCAGCAATTACAATCGCAGCTGGCTCTTAACCAGGTTAAGCAAAATGAAGACGAAGCCGACGAGGAACTCGAGCCGGAGGAACGCGAGGATGGCGAAACAGATACCTACGAAGAGGAGGAGCGCATCGCAGACATGGAGCTGCGACAAAAGGCCGAGGCACGCATGGCCGAGTCCAAGGCGCGTCAGCACCTTATAAATGCTGGTGTGCCTTTACGCGAGCGCTCCAGATCCATCTCACCAGCAGCCACATCGCTTTCGACCTCATCGCTAAAGCGCAAACGCGAAGAAGATGCCAGTACCAAGTCGTCTGGCGCAAGTGCTAAGATTTTCGGTGAGCAGGAGAGCTCACAGGACGCCCTGAATAAGCTTAAAGAGATGGAGAATATGCCGCTGCCCTTTGGTGCGGATTTGTCGTCTAGCATCATTACCAATCATGACGATTTACCAGAGCCTAATTCCTTAGATTTGCTGCAAAAGCGCACCCAGGAGGTGCTCGATTCTGCCTCCCAAGGAATCTTGGCCAATAACATGGCCGATGATTTCGCTTTTGGTGACAAGTCCAGCGACGGTAAGGGTCGCAATGAGCCCTTCTTTAAACACCGCTGCAGATACTGCGGAAAGGTATTTGGCTCTGACTCTGCCCTACAAATTCATATACGGTCCCATACGGGTGAGCGACCCTTTAAATGTAACGTCTGCGGGAGCCGATTTACCACTAAAGGCAACCTTAAGGTGCATTTTCAGAGGCATGCACAAAAGTTCCCGCATGTGCCCATGAATGCAACGCCTATACCAGAGCACATGGATAAGTTTCATCCACCGCTGCTGGATCAAATGTCTCCCGACAGTTCTCCAACGCAGTCACCAGCCCCAGCGACTGGTCTGCCGCCGCCATCAACGTCTACTCTAACACAGATGCAGCCGTCGATGTCCTTTGCCTCGAGTCCAGCGTTCCCTGGACTGCAGGGCATGTACCGCCCACCCATGGAGCTGCTTAAGTCACTAGGTGCTACTGCAGGCAGTACCGCCGGCTTGCCGCATCCCTTCTTCCCACAGATGCCGGGGTTGGGTGCGGCACTGAAGCACACGCACGATCAGAGTCAGGACATGCCCACGGATTTGCGCAAGTCCTCGGGTCCCAGCTCCCCCCACGAGGAGGAAGACAACATTATAGCGGCTAGGTTGCCTGTTAAATCAGAGCTAATGGAAGAGGAAAAGACGGAGCACACGATGGAAGCAGCGACAGCTGAAAGCGCCGAAATGGAGCCATTGCCGCTTGAGGTGCGGATTAAGGAGGAGCGCGTCGATGAAGATCAGATGCATATGCAGGAGAGTATGCAAAAGCCGGAGGCGCCTAACCGGCGTACGCCTACGCCCTCATCCTCAACAGTGCCTCATACGCCACCACTCATGCAGCGGCAAAATCACCACGTTCACTCCCACTCCAGTGTTATGCCCGCCTATCCGCCTGTGGTGCAGCCTATACAACCACCAGCAATCATGCATGCGCAGTGCTCACCTGGATCGCAGACCCATCTGGATCAGTTGCCGACTCCTGGACAACTCCCGCCCACGATGCCCCAACGAGAAGACTTCTTTGCTGAGCGCTTCCCCCTTAATTTCACTTCAAAGACGGACGATCATTCGCCGATACGTTCGCCCGCTGGCCATGCGCATGCTCACATTCCGCGTTCACCCTTCTTCAATCCAATCAAACATGAGATGGCTGCCTTGCTGCCGCGTCCTCATAGCAATGACAACTCGTGGGAGAATTTTATTGAGGTGTCGAACACCTCGGAGACAATGAAGCTCAAAGAGCTTATGAAGAACAAGAAGATCAGCGATCCTAATCAGTGCGTTGTCTGCGATCGCGTCCTCTCCTGCAAGAGCGCTCTTCAAATGCACTACCGTACTCACACGGGCGAGCGACCTTTTAAGTGTCGAATTTGTGGCCGAGCCTTCACGACCAAAGGCAATCTGAAAACCCACATGGCTGTGCACAAGATTCGACCGCCCATGCGTAACTTTCATCAGTGTCCGGTTTGCCACAAGAAGTACTCCAACGCGCTTGTGCTGCAACAGCACATACGTCTGCACACGGGGGAGCCAACCGACCTGACACCCGAGCAAATACAGGCCGCCGAAATACGTGATCCGCCGCCTTCAATGATGCCTGGCCACTTTATCAATCCTTTCGCAGCGGCTGCCTTTCACTTTGGTGCCATGCCTGGCGGCGGTGCTGGTGGTCCGCCTGGAGCATCTGGCATGCCCGGTGGTCCACACAATGGCACTTTGGGCTCGGAGTCATCGCAGGGCGACCTGGATGATAATATGGACTGTGGCGATGGAGATGACTTCGATGATATTTCCTCGGAGCATTTGTCAAATAGTAATGATCCTGCGGGCGATGAGCGACCGCGTTCTAGTGATGATTTTAAGTCGCTCCTGTTTGAGCAGAAGCTGCGTATTGATCCAACTGGTGTAGTCAACATTAACAGTCATCAGCGTCCGCACTCTGCCGCCAGCAATCCCAATTCGATTGGTTCCGCTTCGGCCTCACCCTCGGCTCCAACCAGCCCAAGCTCGCAGCCCAAGCCCAGCTGCTCACCCGTTCGATCCGTGTCAGAGACTTCACAGGGAGCTCTCGACTTGACGCCACGCGCTCTTGCACCGCCGCTGGCATCCTCAAGCTCGCGTTCACCGCTGCCGCCACCTATTGAGCGTAAGGAGAAGACCATTAGCCCGCTTAGTCAGCAGACTTCGGTGCGAAGTCCCAATGGTCCCGCTTCGCTGCTTTCTTCGCAGTTGCCACCCTCAGTGGGCATTGATTGCCTTCCTCCTGGACTACAGCATCATTTGCAGCAACAGCATCAGCATCTTATGCAGCAACAAGCGGCTGTGGCTGCCGCAGCCGCCGCGCAGCACCATCATCATCAGATGCAGCAACATGCGGCTGCACTGCATCAACATCAGGAACACCTCCGTCGCGAGGCGCAGGAAGTTCAACAGAAAGCGGCGGTAGCAGCCGCCGCAGCAGCCGCTGCACAACGCCAGGAATCTCCACAGCCTCCACCTCGGTCCGGCGAATCGTCAGTCGGTCCGCCAGCCCAGCCCAATCCGCTGATTTCTGCGCGACCGCCCTTCGGCATGTTCCCCAATCTACCAATATTTCCGCCAGCCACCACACAAAATATGTGCAATGCCATGAACCAAATCGCGCAATCCGTGATGCCAGCGGCACCATTTAATCCGTTGGCACTAAGTGGAGTGCGGGGCAGCACCACGTGCGGCATCTGTTACAAGACATTCCCCTGTCATTCGGCGCTTGAGATTCACTATAGGAGCCACACCAAAGAACGGCCCTTTAAGTGCAACATCTGCGATCGCGGCTTTACAACTAAGGTATGTATAAGAGAGAATATTTGTGGGAATATATGTATATTATATTAAATGCCTAGATGAAACCCTAACGCCTTCTTTCTGCTCTCTCTTCTTAATTCTGTTGCAGGGTAACCTCAAGCAGCATATGCTGACACACAAAATTCGCGACATGGAGCAAGAGACCTTTAGAAATCGTGCTGTAAAGTATGTAAGTCTTCCAAAATCACACCAAACCAAAACACAAAACTATCATTATTATCAAAATCTGACCAGTTTTTCATAAATACTTTCTTATCCCACAAATATTTTCGGTAATTTAGAACTTTTTATGCCCAATTATTGAACTTTTTACTTTACATTTAAACACTACAAGTATAAAAGGTTTAACACCACCCCCTCATTCTACTGCAATTATCACCTATATTAATACAGTTCTTGTCTTGTTTGATCCTTCTATTTATAGATGAATGAGTGGAGCGATGATCGTGAATAAGTTAATTAGTTATCGATAGTACGATCAAGAACAATCCAAATATTAGCCATTGGCCGTGACAATAGACTCTCGCAACAATATGATCTCACGCTGTGTTGTGAAGCGCGGGTTAAAGCAAAGAGTGGATAATCAAAGACGACTGCAGAGTGTGAACGCTAAAATAAGTGAACACTAAATGCAAGAAGGAAGCAAAGAGAACCGAAAAGTGCTCTGAAATTCTCACAAGGTAGTTCAAGAGAAAATGTACGAAGCCCCATAAAAACAGCTTTGCACATACGCGTATACAAAAAAATTGTTTTTATAAATTGTTGCCCACAAAAATATTTGATTCTTTTTTTAAGTTGCTAACAATAAACCCGGGGCAGAAATTAAGACAGGCAATGCCTGCTCGCCTGTGATTTCTTTTCATGATTTCTCCAATGATTTCTTTCATAAACAATTTTTTATGATCCAAAAGCTAAAGAAATCATTGAAAACCACAACACAAAACTAAACTGGCATGAAACGTATCCAAAGATGCATCAAAAGCAATGTTCCAGTCTAACACAGGCCCTAGAAACGCCGCTGGATTGCTTTGAAATGAGACTGATAGCGTTTCAGGCTGACTCCCTAATGTATAGTATGATATTCGCCACAAAAAATCAGAATCACGAAAAAATTGAAATTTAAGTTGACAACAGCTAAATTGAAGGCGTAGGAAAATCAAAATTCGAATTTAAAGTACATTTAAGGTAATGATAATCTTAAACTAAATAATATATAAATCATATATAGAGTATATACATTTGCATAATGTATATGATACCTTAGTCCACAAATATTAAAAACTATATTTAAAATGTGCAATAATAATATGACACGATATACATTTAGTCTGCCTTTTTCTCCTACGTTCGTAATTTAAATTTTAATTTTTAATCTTTTGTACTTACACGCAATAAATCCAGGTAGACATAATTCAAAATCAATTTGCTTTGCTTCGGTTAATCTTGAAAAGAAAACAAATAAAAAAAGAATATATAAATAAAAAACATAAATTGTGATACTAAATGTAAAATTGTTGGCCAACTGGATAACCAGCCAAAGCCAAGTTGATGTAAATTGCTTTCCATATCACTTATAACAACTGGCAAATAATGTTAAATATTAAACAAAAAAAAAAAAAACAAGGAAAAAACATAATAAATGCATAAAAACTTTTTATTTAACATTCATAGTTAATTTAGTTGGTAAAGCAACATACGGCGATTGTCAAACTAATAAATATATACATAAAAAATTCGAATCTAATTATTTCGAAAATCCATTTTATTCATTTACTTGGTATGTAAGTAAAATTGATAACAGGCTTAAATTACGATAAACCCATAAATCATAAAGATACAAATGTATCTCAATCTGTTTGTAAGCATAGTCTCATAATTTATTACCCATGGAACGAAATACAAAATGAAAAAAAAAAAAACAAAAAAAAAAAAAACAAAGCAAACGAAATACAAATAAAAAGTATACAAAGAAAAATTATGTATTTAAGTTATAAAAATTAATAAACAAACTTGTGTTTTTATTTTGCCCAGTTCAGCAGCGTTTTATACCTGAATGTTGACTTCTACAGCGCTTATCGAGATCGGGGCGGATGTTCTGGGAAAAATATAAGCGTTCAATTTCGTAGTAAAAGGCCATGGACCTCCAATAATGGCCCGTGAATGTTTAGATATTGTAATAAAAATGATTAGTCAAGTTTATTATCGTCATAATCTTTTAATTCGAAATCGAAACGGAATATTGATAGCCAGCAACAGCTGAAAACTGAGTGGTTCAGACTTGGGGACTGGATCTAGAGTCAAATCCGAGTTCAACAAATATTTGCTGCCTACATTTTATATTCTCTTTAGTTTTTGTCACAAATTAATTTATTTCCCTTTCATTTTTCTTTTTTTTTTTATGTTTTTTGTGTTTCAATGCCAATGACTATCCGGCCACCTGATTTGTCCCGCTTGCATTTTAGTCGTTAGTAAATTACTTGTTGACGGTATGTCATATTTTTCAAGACGAACACCCGCTGGTAATTTGTGTGCGCATTCGAGCACGTTGTGGATGCCAGACTAACAGTTTTTGCAGTGAATTAATTAACTGATATTTAGACTGGTTGCATTTAATATCTCGTTGGTGATTAATATAACAGTCTTAATAAGTCGCAACTCCGCAATGCTCTTTGTGTGCGCTTTCAGGTGTGTAGGCTCCCAAATAGAGTTAGTTTAGTTGTGGCAACCCTTTGCCTTTCCGCTGTCTGAGCTCTGGCAACAAAATGCTGTAAGGTTAGTGGCAAAGCTTAAGGTCAGTTGGTGTCCGACTGGCAATTATGACATTTACATGGCGCGTGTCATTACCTAATACAATTTTGAAGTTTTTTATTTTGAGGTTATAACAATTCTGTTGCGTAAAACTCTGGAAAATGTTTTATTTATGTTGCTTATAAAATGACATAAAACTTAACTGGCAAATAAAGCTGGCTGAATACAACAATAACAAGAATTGCCTGATAACTATAAAGACTGAGTTAGGTCACTGGCAAATCCTTGTAAACGTTTGCAATAACTGCAAGAATCCTTACATATAATATATGAGAATTGCTAGGGTAGCCATTCGAGCTTATCACAGGCATAAAAATACACACCCACACACGCAAACTCTAAGCACCAAACAATCAAAACAAGAAAAATTCACAATTTGCGCGGCTTTGCCATCGCTTCTAAACAGCAGCTGTAAGCGGCCGCTCGATCCGACTGATACTCTTCATTGGCCCAAAGTCATCATTGTTGTTGTACAGTGGGCCCGAAACTCTAGGCACGTGTGCAAATTATAAATATGTTTTCAACAGTTAAAAGTTAATGAAGGCTATCGAAAACTATAATAAGCTTTGAATAGTTGGATAAAGTTATTTATCTATCTAGACGTATTTTATAACTGATCCGGATAGTTTTCATTATAGTTCCACTGTGCCACTAGACAGAATGCCAAACAGCAATACACATTCACAACAACTAACATAGATGGCACTTTAATACGAAAATCTAACGATTTGTTTGCACTTTTATTATTTCCTGTTACTGGAATTGTCACAAAATAAAAATAACAAAAATCGCTGCATGGCCGGGCTGTAAAAACAAAACAAAAACCAAGCGCAATATGGTGAGTCCCCAACGTTTCCCTTCTACCTCAATCCGCCTCTTAAGCTCCTTAATGGTTTTTGGGTATCCGTATCTATCTGCCAGTGTCAGTTTGGCACATCATTTGGCCAACATACAATGGTAGCGGCTGCCTCCGTTTGAGCCGCCGCCGTCGCCAGTTGCGCTTGCATTTTGATGACGGCAGATTCCAAAGTACGCTTGGATATGGATAGGGTCACTTATCAGACCGACTGCTGGCTAGTTGCTCCGGTGCCCGCTCGGGCCGTTTTGTCAGCATCGACTCGGCGACGTCTGAGCCGTTGGGCGATTGGCATGCGCTCGCATTTATGCAACATTACGCATAGGATTAGTTGATAGAGTAGAAGCGTCCTGATTGACCATGTCTCGCCCTTAAACTCTCTCATTCTGTTAGCACAAGTTACAGCCTTGTCTTATTGGGCACGTGTGTGGTGCGTGTTGGGTGGGCGTGTAAATTGCTTCTGTTTGTATTTGGGTAATCGACACGATCATATGGCTGTCTTATGTTTGCTGGCATATTTCATTTAGTTTCATTTTGCGGTGGCATATGCAATGTGTTCGTCTGATAGCCACTGAACACTTTACATTCGAAATTCGGATTTAAGCTGGAGATATTTTTTTTGTAGTATTTTCTGACAATTGTCACAGATCTCTTCGATATGAAATGAGATATATATATATATATATATATATATAAATTGGTTCTTTAGTAAAGTAAGCAAAAGGATTCAATGCGTTGCCGATGCAAATGATGCAACACAATTCGTTTGAGCCCTGCCCGGAAGGCGTAGACCAAATGAAAGGACTCGTTGTAACAGATTACTGTTGCTTCAGAGGGCGACCCCAAGGCTGCTCGCGAAGATGCGGTCGACTCATTTTTCGACCAACTTGCACTGGACTTGGTACCGTGTCGTACTCAACGCGATTTGTTGCTTGGCTGCATCGCCTTAACGCCCACGCATTCAAGGGAGGCGATGGCGATGTGATTACATGACAACAAAAAAAAAAAAACGTTCAAGCATTTTTGCCAGGCAGTGCTACAGTGGAGAAAATTACTGCACTTTATGCTCCTATACCATGAGATACAACGCACAGTACAGTTTTAGATAGAGTACAGTTACCAGCTTCAATAATACCCGCAATCCCAGCAGCAATTTTCAAAATTTCATTCCCAAGTCTCCTCCATTCTCCGTTGCCTTCTCAATTACATTTCCAGTGATTTGTTTGCTTCACTCCGTCGGTTGTGGCTGTGTTCGTTCCAACTGCAGCAATGCTGATGATGGGTTTCCCATTGAGTCGATCTAATTTCTCATGGTGGAATCATCGATTCATCGTTTTGTGCTGCACTGTAAATAACTGCAGCGAGCAAAGAAGTGGAGAGCGACTGCAAACCCCGGATGCGAGTATCAGCCGGAGTTAGAGGCAGTTGGAAACCGCCTGCCAGTTGTTGACGTGTCTAGCAGCAGAATCGCCTCTTTTGGCAGCCCCAGCAGCCCAATCAATCCATTTAGAAACCACTTCGCTCCACAGCTACCACCCACCAGTCTTGTTTTGATGCCAAATCTAAGCGGTTCAAATATATTTACCCCTGATTTGGGAGCAAAAACGCGGCATAATTGCCGTTTTGTTCGTTTCGTATGGAGAAAAAATACAAATTTTGAGAGGGAAAGATATACACATAGAGCAAGAGAGGGAAAGGAAAAACAAACAGGGTCGCCAAACGAAAAGGGGGACCACAAAGCAAAAATTGCACAATTTAAATAGCAACACATATTGGTAAGCATTTGTGTATGCGGCTGTGCCTGTGCGTTCCTGCTTTTATACCCTGAACCCATTGAAAATGGGTAAAAAGGGTATAACGTTTTTGTGCAACTGTATGTTACAGCCAGAAGGAAGCATCTCCGATCCCATAAAGTATATATATTCCTGCTAAGCATAAATAGTCGAGTCGATCTAGCCGTGTCCGTCTGTCTGTTCGTCTGCTTGTCGTCCTTTCATCCGTCTGTCTGATAGAATAGGGTTCAAGGTATCCCCTAGTCGGGAACTTCCGACCATGTTTTTTTGAGGAGAGTGTTAGGTCGAATAAAAATTCACCACAAAATTAATTTCCTCGAGCTTTTCTTTTTTGCCATTTACCCATACAAAATAAGCAAAGAATGAGTATATATTACAAAATAATAAGGGCATTGTCAACCTTATCTAGTACAAGTATAAATATGCCTGACCTGGATAATTTGAGCCTATCAAGCCTTATAAGTCCACCTGACTTATTGCTTAGCATGAATTTATCTAGTATACCCATATCAAGATGAGTTTATTTTTGGGAAAAGTGGTAAGCTGCGGCGTGGGTGCAAGTCTTTCGGTGTGTATACATAACTCATTTCGGCTGTTCAGGGTATTTCATTCGTGGTCACTATTAAATATAGGACTCTGGTTTGCTTTTGTTTTGCTATGGACTTGATATTATTGTCTGCCAAGCGTCTTCTGCTCGAATGGATTAAGTGCAAACTGTTCATGTAACATGGAGCTTGGGTATTGCTTTAATTTACGGTCGATGGACAGTAACTGCTTTCTAAAAATTGTAAAAACCTTTTTTTCTTAACATATTCGAACTACCTATAGGAGATTCTCTGAAACTTTGTCTACATCGATAAATCAAATGATGTTTCGCATTGAGCTGAAGTTCAATATGTTCATACACAAATAAATATATATCAACATCAAGCACAACAATAACTTGTTCCACTGTGCGCCGCTTCCATTCAGCGGGTTTTAGGATGTTTGTTAGCTACGAGTTTCGTCTAACTTGAACTGGGCTCGAGTTTGATTTTAAGCCAGAGAAACTCAGAGCTTAAATCTGGGGGAGCACGGTCTACAAAACGATCCCGGGCGGAATATGCAATTATGTATTTTAAAGTTTTTTTGTTTTTGCAATCGCAACTTTTTTACTCCACTG